AATAACTGTCAACCTTTTTTGCATATATAAATTTTAACAGCCCATACATGCCGATGAACCTTTTATCCAGGAAGGAAGGAATTATTTCAAGTGATTGAAAGTTGAAATGTTTAGGCTTTTATCCTTGTTGTGTAATGGAATCACCATGTGGACATGCCACTTTATGATTACTTCTGTTCTCCACATCAACTAAGGCTAATAAGTACCTACTATGCACAAGGGCATCCATCCCTGTTTTCAAGGAATGTACCTTCCATCAGTGAGGATAAGACAAATGTTCAAACAAGCCTAGCACAAGGTGGATAGAGCATGGCAAATATCCTAAGAGGAGTGCCAAGCACTAAGACAGTTCAAGTATTTGGTTTGGAGCAAACCAGAGAGGGCTCCCCAGAGGAGTTCATCTAGAATGGGCCTTGAAAGAAAGGTAGATTCAGTAAACAGAGAAGGTAGGGAGGGCATTTAGGGAGAAGAGGCAGAGGCAGCTATTCATGTACCATGGACTACAGGTAGGGTGGAGGAGTAGGCAGCAGCACGTGTCATGGCCTGAGGATGACATGTGGCTCATAGGGGATACGTAGGGATGCAAGGCAAACTCCTGGCATGAGTGTCACACTCCCTGTCTTCCACCCATGGGAGAGAGCATTGCTGATCAGAGCCCACACCTTTCCACCAGGTAAGATGGACCTGCCATCCTTGGTGTAGGAGTGCAGTGATAAGTGAGGTAGATAAGTGAATACCATGTTGACTAGTTAGTAGTTAATTGGATAGGCAATGGGGAGACATTAAAGTCTTGTAAGCGGGGGAGTGGCATGGTGGGAAATGAGAGCTGTAGTTCAGGGTAATTAACTTGGCAGTGCTATCTGGAATGGATTAGAGGGGTTATAAGACAGAAGGCCAGTTTTTTGGGAGGTTACTGGAATGGTTTAGGTGAGCAATAACATCTGGAATTGGACAGAGGGCTGCAGAAAGAAAGGGGCTCATGTCATGGAGGTAGAATTTATGGCATTTGGTAAGTATGTTAGGATGTGGACAGCTAGGGACAATAGCAAGAGAGAGGAGTCAAAACTAACTCTGAGGTTTCCTTATAATTACCAGAGAGTAGGAGAAAAGTAGTGTCACCATTAGGAGGGGAGTCTGGGATTCGCAAGGACGTGGGGAGGGTCCTAGTGGGGTTGGGAAGCGAAAGAGGAGTTGCAAAAAGCTGAATTTAGGCTTATCTCTTTTATAAAGCACAGCTTTTCTAAGCCATTGTCAGTATTGCAAAGTGAAATAACCATTTTTAAGCAAACACTGTTGCCCTTTGTCAATGAGCAGAAGGCTCCTATCTCTCCAAATATTTGGAAAATTGGAAAGCCTTAATTAGTAATCGGGAAAGGGGCATGAGGCAAGGAAGGAGAGAAATATAAACCTAATCACTGTGCTTTTCAGGTTTCAAATGCTTCTCCAATCCAGGTAATTTACACTTTAGTAACAATGATTGACAGCCAAGGAATGTATCTAACTCACTTTTATTTTTCCCTTGGGGAAAGCACTTGAGTTCCCAATTGTTTTAAATTGCAGAGGCAGTAATTGTCTTGGAGAGTTAGGAGAAATGGCTTTTTGGAGCAAGGATCTTTCACTGAAGGGGGATATAGACAGTCTATCGTAATTGATTAAGGTCACTAGGGCCATTTTCTGGAAGGTCTTTCCAGGGTGACTACACACCACCCACTGAAAGGCCAACAATGAGGAACCCATTGAAGGCCCAGGGGAACAGGCTTAACCAAAAATGTTCACAAGTTGCTACTGGTACCTAAAAGGAAGTCAGGGATACTTTCAAAGTCACTTGCATCCCAAATAGAATTATTGGTGAAATATAATATGAAGAGTATTTTTTAAAGTATTTTAAAATAAATATGAGGCAACAGATGTATTTTGAGATGCTCATGGTCCTAGAAGAAGTTGTTTATTAAACTGTACACTTTGATATATTTGTTTCTTTAGAGAAGTCGAGTGTGACGAGCTAGGTCAATTGCATCAAGAGCATTATAACAGGCTAACCAACGGTAAATGGTGTCAAGGCAGCTCGGGAAATCTGTGCTTTGATGTATGGGGAAACTCACACGTCTGATTTGGGATGGAGAGACAATCATGGCATTGTTTGTAAGCGCCAACAGACAGGCTAAAGCCAGGGATCCTTGCAGAGATGGGACTAAGGTATCAGAACTGTTCACATCTCATTTACATCGCCCCAAAGAGTGGACCACAGGTCTTGCTGATTAACACACAGACCATGACAAAGAGCACGTTGTGTGTTTGAAATCAGATCAAGATCAGTAAAAGTAACAGGAACAGTGTGTGAAATTTGCATATGGAGGTTCCTTTTAAGCTATTATCTAACTAGGTTTTTTTTCCCCCTTATTTTTTTTAAAGTATTTTTCCAAACCAGGAAGTTAGCAAAAGCAAAATGTTCCCCAATTCCCTCTCCCACCCCACCCCCTTTAACACACATATTTATGCCACCTTCTGGTATATAATAATATTTTTTATTGTCAAAATTTTCAAGCCTTCTGAAAGGAAGACGGGGGCGTATGTTAAAGACCAACTGATTTCATCAGTGTCTTCTCAGGCAAAAGGAAATGGATTGAATGTTGAGGCAGAGAAACTGGGCTACTACTGTTTGAATATTTTCCATGAACCCAATTTGTATTGTTTCTTCATAACAGAGTTTGTGAGCAAGGTAATACTGATGCAATTCTCCACTCTCCTTGGGTTTCCTTAAGCACCTACTAGGGGATGGGTGTGTTTCCACGGGAGGAGGGTGTGGAATGATGCCTGCAATAATGTGATTTATTGGAAGTTGTTAATTGTCTGAATTTTATCATCCAGAGTCCAGACATTATTAAAGCCTCTCCAGTGTATCTGTTTTTCTATGGATGAGACTGTACATTAAATAGCAAACGTACCAGTGGGAATTGACGATTAGCAGCCACGCATGAGCTAGATGCAGCGTGGCATATATTTCATTCAGCTAAGATAGTCATCGTCCAAACAGGCCAAAGTTTTCTTCAGTAGAAAGTGCCCTGCCAAATGGTTTCTAGACCCTTTGCGGAGAAACAGCAAAGGAGCTGAAGGCGACCTCTTTCAACCACACCAGAAATTGGCTGTCCCTGGCTATTCTAGACTCACAAAATCTGCTTTAGACGCACAGACGTATCTAACCAAAACTGGCAACCCACTGACCGTCCCATCCCAAAGTAAAAAGTGCCACGTCCTCCCATCCTCCGCCTTCCTTGGGGTGTCAGCCCAGTTCTAGTTCCTTTTCGGTTTCTCCCCAGCCCTGGGGAGGGCTGGCGGGGAGCTACCTGCGATTTCCCAACGTGGACAACCGGATTTGTCTCTTCCCAGGCTGGGTGCGGATGGGGACGAGTTGTGTTCCCGAGAGAGAGAGAGTCTCAGAAGTAGGCACAGAATCATCTCACCGATTTTCATTTCTGTCCCTGGGCTGGGGAGAGGGGAGGACTGGGGTGCGGGAGGCTCTGCCCTCCTCCTCCCCTCTTTTCCCCACCTCCCAAAATTGGCAGCCAGTCCGCGGCTCCCGGTCTGGGGTCTGGAGGGTGGGGAATGTGGGTGTGGGGGCCGGCCGGAGACGCTCTCGCTAGCGCTGCCTGTGGCCAGACCCGCCTCCGGTCCCCTCTCGGGCGCACACCCTGGTCCACCCAGACACACTCCGCGCGCTCCCTGCGCTCTCGCCGCCGCCGCCGCTCTCTCCCTCCTGCTCCCGCCGGTCTCCTTCTCCTTTTTTTTTTTTTTTTTTTTGGTACCATAGAGTTGCTCTGAAAACAGAAGATAGAGGGAGTCTCGGAGCTCGCCATCTCCAGCGATCTCTACATTGGGAAAAAACATGGAGTCAGCTCCGGCAGCCCCCGACCCCGCCGCCAGCGAGCCGGGCAGCAGCGGCGCGGACGCGGCCGCCGGCTCCAGGGAGACCCCGCTGAACCCGGAATCCGCCCGCAAGAGCGAGCCGCCCGCCCCGGTGCGCAGACAGAGCTATTCCAGCGCCAGCAGAGGTAGGAGGCTGGGAGAGGGGCTGGGGAGGGGGCGGCGGGAGCCCGGGCGCGTGGCTGGGGGGCGGCCGGGAGCGGGCGCCCGGGGCGCGGGGTCCGGCGGCCGCGCGCGAGCCTGCGGCGGCGCCCCGAGCCCGGAGCACCCCTCTCCCCTCCCCCCTCCGCCCCCCAGAAATGTTGCAAACTTTTGCAGCCCGTTCTCAGCTTGCGGGAGCAGAGGGGGGCGGGGGAGGCGGCGGGAGGGTTGACAGCCGGCGGGCTCACCCCCCGGCTTTGATTTTTCTGCAAAGACAGGAGGAAAGCCGCGTTGCCGAAATCAGATATGCTCCCCCAAAATACGGAGACCGGGGAGTGGGGGCCCGGGAAAGAAACTTTTAAAGCGGCAGTGTCCTTTTAAGAAGGGGGAAAAAAAATCTGTTTATGGCCACCCTCCTCCCCCGTTTACCTTTTCTCCTCTTGACTGTTTCGGCCCCGGCTGACCGAGTCGGGGGTGTGTTTTCGGTCCCCAGCTAAGCTGGGGGTGGAGGCCGGGCGGAGGGAGCGACCCGGGAAGCCCTGGGGTTAGAGAGGGGGCGCTCCGGGGTCTGGGGGCGACGTGGGCACCTTCTCTGGAGCCCGGCGGTGGGTTCGGGATTTGGAGGAAGGGCCGGAGGAAGCGGGGTGCGGGCGCGCGAGGTGCTCGCCAAGTTGTGTGGCGGGCGCGGAGAGCCGAGCTGCGCAAGTTTGCAGACCGGGGTTCGGAGCCCGGCGCCGGGGCTGGCGGGGGGCGTGTGCGCGCCGGCGCGCCGAGGGCGGCGGTCCCGTGGGGCGCTCCACGCGCGTTCGGAGGGAGCGTCCGCACGAGCAAACAAGCAGCGAAAGAAAGATGCAAAGGCACCCAAACTTATTTGTGCCCCGGGAACCCTTCCCTCTCCGAGGTTCTCCGCGTTTCTGCAGGAACCCGGGGATGGCCGGTGCAAGCCGCACGCTGGTTGGACCGTGCGGGCGCTGTCCCCCCTCCCCAGGCGATCCTTACACTTCGTTTCGGTGTTTGGAGTGTGTGCGCGCGCGGGGGGCGGCTCCGCTGTCCCCTCCTGTCGTAGTTAGAGTGAGCTGTTGAGGAAAGCTCGCTCTCTCCCTCTTTCTCAAAGGTTCTGGAACCTGGTGTGGGTTTTTCTCGGGGAGGGTGGGGGATTATTTATTTGAATGCGCCCGGAGTTTGTAAAGACCAGGAGGAAGCCACGGCTTTAATTACTGTTGTAAATAATGTATAAATCACGCCTGTCACTCCGGAGGAAGCGGGCTCGCGCGAGCCGCCCGGGGCGGGGGACGCAGAGGATCCCTCCGGCCCGGGCACCGGCCCAGCGCGCCCCCTCCTCGCGCACCGGGCCTGCGGCGTCGACTGGGGGTGCTGGGAGAGGCGAGTGGGGGCCCGGGAGCCGCTCCCTTCCTCTCGGGGTGATAGTTGGAGGTAGGAATATGGCTGATCATGTGCTGGCTGTTTTACAGTATTCCCCCCCCCCAACCTTGGCCACACCCCCTGTCCGGGCGCTTTCCCATTCACGGAATTCGAGTACAGTAAAAGCCATCAGGATGACACACGCGAAAAACATTTAATTAAAGGCGATGTCCAAAGAGTGACCACGCCGAACCGCGGTTTGAGCGGGCGGGGGGTCAGTGAGGGCCAGGACCCGAGGGGAAGGGGTTGAGAGCTGGGGGGCCGGGACCTGCCGCTAGCTCGGTGAGTTTGTGTTCGGGGAGCTTTTGGCTGCAAAGAGTATATTTAGACCCTGAGACGGTGGATTTGGAATGCGAGCGGGTTATGTAACAGGGTTAATCAGAAACACTGGAGAAAATCCCCTTCATGTGTTTCTGAGGCTTTTTTTTTTTTGAATTGGGGGGGGCATAGTATATAGGAAGCTGCACTAATTTCTGGTTTGTGCCACCGCCACCCCCTCTCCTTAAACCCACCCCCCACCTTCCCGTGTGTTATTATATTAACATCTTCAGGTGTAGTTCTTGCCAGAAGGTGTTCTTGCAGGAGATCGGGGTGGCAGGCTGCAGAACCGACTGGCAAATCCGTAACTTGCTGTTCTTGCAAATTATATAACGTTGGGGCATTCAGTACCACCGGCCCCCTAGGCTCAGCAAAAAAGGGGAGAGGGACAAAGTAGGGGTGGGATGCATCTTGCACAGCTGACCTGCTGACCCATATCCCCTTCCTCCCAGAGCCCCCCCCTCAGAGAACCCCACTGGTTCTTTGAGCCAACCCTTCCCTGGCCATCCATCTTAGGAGCTTTAATGGGAGGGGGGAGGTAAGGCCCAAACACTCAACTCACATCCTGCACGCAGGCACTAGGTTATATAACAGTCTGAGTGGAAAGAGGAAGGTCAGGGATGGAGGCATCCTTTAGCTAACACAGCAGTAGTAATAGCTTCCAGAAATTATGTGCATTTGCAGACTTTCACCTGAGATGTAGCGTCTGCTCCTCAGGGGTACCAATCTTTGTGTGTGTGAGCCAGGGAGAAACAGAGAGAATGTGTAAGTGTGCTTGGTAGTTGAGAGTGATTTGAAAATGGGAAATGTTTGGGTTTTCAGATGATGTAATGGAGTTGGCAGAATATGCAAGTCGGCTCCCGGAGTGTAAGCAGTAAGAAAATTGGAGCTGGCATCCAGTATTAATGTTGCATAAATTACAATATCGGAAAGAAATTAACCTACACACTAGGTGATTACGCCTTTTAAATACTTAAAACATAAAGGCACACGACTGGAAAGGAAAAGCAAACATCATCACCTTATAATTAGCGTTTTCAACCTCAAGGAGGGTTGAGTGGAGTTCTTGGCAGTGGGCGAAATGGGAAGGTTTCTGATTTGGGAGAGGCTTTCCAAAGGGCTAGCAGGCTTAGCTTCCAGTCGGTCAATGTTCGAAGCCCATAGAGATTGTAGTCTGGATTCTAATGACATTGCGGTGACCTCAAGAGACGTTCCCCAGGTAGACTTGAGGATATTGCTGAATTCCTACCTCCCTAGGAATCCAAGTGTGAATGGACTATGTACCCTGAGTGCCTGAGCTTCCAAAATCAGATATGTGACTTTATAATCTGAAAGATGACCCCCCCCCATCTTTAAAACCATGCAGGGAATGTTAGCAGTTTAAATGAAACTTTTCCCTTTTCGAGGTGGTATTAATGATGCTGGTGTTGTTCACTTCCATTCTTACGGCACAATGAAAGGGAAAAAAAGAAAGGCAGGAGGGGCAACATGGGAAGCAGGAATGAAGTGGGGAAAAAAAAACCACAGCAAATCTTTAATTTAACAAGGCTTTCAGGGACTTCAGGGAGCCATGAGCGTTTGTGACATAACTGTTGTTAAAAACCCTTTTCCAGAATCTCATTATTACATGCATGCCGGAAGCTTACATTTTTTGCCTGCACTTACGTTATCCTCCCAGGGCTGGGGACCACGCAGTAGGTTGGGAACACCAGTGCTCAAGGTTGAAGGCTTTTAGAACAGGCCGACCTAAGGGAAAAATCGAAACCAAAAGATGAGATTAACCGTGAAAAGCTCAGTTGGGTTGAGATCGAACACCCTGGAAGCTCAGCTTAGATTGACTTAAAATCAGTTAACAGGGCCTGTAGTTTATTTGTAGCCCTGAGGACTTCTAGAGCCACATAAGTCCTTGACTCTGACAGTGCGTGGGCTCCCCTCGTCCCTTCGGTTTGGGCTACTTCATTTTCTAGTAGGTGCTCTTACTTGGCAATTTTAGTGCCCTTTCTAGAGATCGATTCTCAGATCAACTTTTCTTGCAGGGCCCCGTCTCTCCACAGTGAACAAACGATGCCCCATAGTTTGAAAGAGCTACAGGCTGGGAGAAAATCCTTTGCCAGAGGGATGAAGTAATTATTTTTTAAATGAACGGACTTTAATTTTCCGGTAAATTGCTCATAAAAACATTTATAATTATACCTTTTAAAAATGTAATAGAATAATTTTAGAAAATGCATTTGATGATAGTTAGGATAACATTTTCTGTTGTCTTCCTCTTATTTCTTAAAAAGAATTGAATTATTAATCTAGAATTCAAGTCCTGAGTGGCTCGAAACATTTATAGTTTTAACATTTTTTTTTGTGTTCGTCACCTGCTGGAATTTTCCAGTACCTACTGGCATTATGAGGAGCCCTTGGCTTTAGAAAATGTCTCTGAGACTGAATCTTGGAGCCTGCCCTGAAGCCCCCCAAAGATGAGACCCTTTAGCTTGTGTTTTCAAGGCAGCAGAGGTGGGGGGATATATACGCACACCCTCTTGGTTCTACACTGGACATCTAAAGTGGGGCACAGGGAGGTATGACAGTGTTAATTGCAATAGCCGTGCCTTTAGATGAAAATGTTCTGAGGATGTTTGGTAACAGCTGAATCGCTTTTGGAAGCAAACTGACCACTGTCCGTAGCTAACCTTTGGAATGCAAGTGAGACGAGTCCATGGGTTCTTTTCATTGAGCCCTATTCTTGTCACTTCTGAGTTAAGATGAACGTTTTTCTCTAGATTCCCCCATTTTTGCATTTAGGAACTTCTGGTGTGATGTTGGAAGGACAGACTGGATTGGAGGTTATGGAAAATTCTGTCCGCCTGATACGGTGTCTTAAAGCATATGCCACTAGTTCTGAGCATACCCTTCCTTTTGCTTTCCATTTTCCTGGTCTCCTTGACGAATTGTGCTTCTTAGCTTATGTAAGTACTAGCGCGGAAGCAAAATACCTAACCACATTTTAGGTGTCTGGGGAAGAGTTGTAACGTGACTGCCCTGTGTGCAAAAAAAAAATAAAAAAAACAAAATTATAGGAAATGCTGGTCTCCTGTGATAACACATCCAGCTGCTCACTGTCTTTGTCTTCCTCTAGTCTGTGTCAGTGTACAGGGACTTTGAGGTAGACGTCATCCAATCTCTCTAGATTACTGACCCAAACATCCCAGATGAGTGATAAATTCTTCCAGACCAAGAAGAGTCTTTTTGAAAGGTCTCCGGGTGGTGGAGTGAACACTCACCTGGAATGTGGAATCCCTTTCTAAATATGAAGATTGTCTTCCTTGCTCAGAATTTAGGAACAGTACTCCTCCCTTCTCTCATTCTCTCCCCTCCCCTCCCATCTCTCCCTCCCTCATTCTCTCGTCTATTATTTTTAATTTTTTAAAAAATCTAATTCATAATAAGAAATGTTGGTTTAGAAATGAGATGTTAAATATTTCACTCATCTGTTCAGGCTGTATGCTAAAAAAGAAAGTAAACTTGTATTATTTTTGAATTAATGCTTCAGAAAAAAAAAAAACCTACCAGATAATCAGTGTTCAAGTGTTGATTAATATACAGTAAATCGTGATTTTTCTCTAACGGTACCAAGGCATTACTGATGAATTGGTTTTCTGACTAATAGCAGATTAAACTGAAATATTTTTTGTCCTTTTCTTATAGAATAAGTTTTCTAAATGCAGTAGTTCTCTTTCCTACCCTAGAAGGAACATTGAGAATGTAATTGAATCTTTCCTTGGGGTTTTAGAAGCCACAGGGTCACTGTTCTGAGTATGAATTCTGATTGTACATTATAGAACTGTAAATGGACGGTGTCGGAGATTGGACTAAATCTGTGTTGATCTCAGGTTGGAAATTGTTTTCACTTTTTTTGTTGTTGTTATTGTTAAATCCTCAATATCAGTATGTTTTGTTATTTGCCTCCCTTGTCCTCTAAGTTGTAAGTAGCAAAATAGAAATTCAGTTAGTTGATTCTGGTTAATTGAGGTTTTTACATTATAGGGAAATTTCAACCAGAGTCTAGAGTCTTCTTAATTCTTTCTCTAGAGTGATAGGGGATGTAACATTCTTGAATATTTAGGAAGGCTGTAGTATTTACAAATAAGTTATTTGCTGTATTACCGTAACATAATGTAAGTTTCCCCCTATCTAATGGTACATGGAAACTCTAGCTAATTTTGCTTCTTCCTTAGATATATTGAAGAGGTATCTTTGGTAGAGGGCTCTCAAATCTTGAAAGTTAGGCAACTCTAGGGTTAGAAGAAAGAACTTCAAGAATGTCAAGAAAGAACATTTAGATTGCCCCAGAGGAATTCCCCTTTCCAATGTTCACTGGACCAATATGGACGGCATCTCAGGAGCACTATCTGCAGAGGCCGATTTTCTCAGGGCTGTCCCACCTGACTTAATAATAGTCTGCAGTTGTCTTGTGATTATCTTTGATATTATAGCGTTGGAAATTCAGCTTGGGAGTCTTGGTGTTCTTTTGTGACAGCCCAATTATGATTATCATTATTTTTGCTTTTGGAGTAAAGACATCAAGGAGATGGTCTAAAGAAATCCTTAGAGAGGAATGGGATTGATGAGGAGTAAAATGTACGCACAGCTCACAGTTTAGGCACGCTGCCTTTTCGCTCCAGCTCTTACATGCTGTTGCTAAAAGGAGTTAGCAACAGTTAGCAAATTGTTCCAGGTAACAATTCCCTTGTGTTAGTAGAAGAACAATTTTTTTTTTCCTAACAGATTTTTATGGCCTTACTGACATGTCATTATTACAAACTGTCTTATCACATTATATGATAGTGTGGCACATTAATAATGGCGTGGCACTATGGTTTGCTGGTGATTGTCTTGTCCACAGAACTGGGGCCCTGGCGGCCAGCTGGGGAGCCCTGCATAGTCCCCCCTGAGAGCTGAGAGTGCAGGTTTCACACACTCCTGAAATTGGTGGAGGACTGTGCCAAGTATCGAGTTTCTATACCAGAGGTGTTTTCCCTCAAACTCCATCAAAGGTTGGAAATGAGTAGGAGACATTATGGTGTAGTCTCCCAGCCTTGGAATCATCTTAGCAATGTTTTTGGGCATTTTGGTTTTGATTATGAGCTTTCTTTTTTTTCCCCCTAGAGTTTTTTGGTTTTTTGGGGTGGAGAGGAGTAAATGAAATCTTGCCATATTGCCCAGGCTAGCCTCGAACTCCTGGGCTCAAGCGGTCCTCTCGCCTCAGCCTCCCAAGTAACTGGGACTACAAGTGTGCACCACTATGCCTGGCTTGATTATTAGCTATTTTAAAGTTTCCTGAAACAATCAGGAAATTTCTATATCCATCCGTAGATCATAATGAATTCTTCTAGGGTACAAGCAAAGGTGTCACTTAGTATAGGATCCTCGAGCCAGTGAAAGAGGCAACGCGCTGTTAAAAATACCTGGCTTACTTCGGGGGAGGGTTTGGCTGAATACTGATGGAGTTGATGAAATATGAATGTAGTGAAGTTGCTGTACGTAAGTGGTAGGCGTGTGTGAAAGAAGTAAGAAGAAATAAAATTGTGTATAAATGACATTCTGAAACTTGATGGGATTGTACACGTGACAAGAATGGTGATGTTTGGGTCTGTGCTTAATGGGAGAAAATAAACAGGCTTAAAAATCTATATGTCAAACTAGATGTGGGATTTTATATTATCGAATATAAAATCACCTGACTTCTTTTTCTAAGCTAAGAATGCTGCCAAGGATAAACAGGCAGGTTGCAAAGAATAGAGGTGAAACAGAATGGGGGGAATAATGAGGAACCAATGTTTGAGCCTGTGATGAAGTGTGGTAATCACTGCTTTAAGTATTCCCGACTCTTAACCACTGTGCTGTTAGGTAGGGAATTAGGTATAGCCAAACAAAAGGCATACATATGAATTTGAGGTTGTTCAGGAGAAATCCTCTTGATCTCCCAACATAAAAATATGTACTGAGAAGCCAAGCTGCATATGATGTATTTTCTTTTTTTCTGTCTTATCCTGATTAATTGACAGCCAACTGTATGCTTCTTTCCTGAAGGTGACTTTACAATCTCTAGACCCAGACATTTCTCTCCGAAGTGGAGTGAAGGAAGGAGAACCACAAGCTAAAGTGTGTTTCGCTGGGTGAAGTATTTTGGGGGCAAGATAAGAAGGGTGAGGCAGGGGAACGGAGTGGTGCGTACAGAGATTCAGAACGCCTGCTTGGGGCTGGGGAGTGGGGGCTGGGGACGCAGGCAGGGACTCTCTGGAGGGAAAAGAGACTTCTGTACAAAAGAAAATGAAATTAGCATTGACTCTGAAATGGCTGGGAATGTGACTTTCTAATTTTAAATTATCTTTAACAAGGGCAATGAAAAGAGGAAAAGTTGACACTTTGAGAAGTTATGACGAACTTGTCGAGAATGCCAATTGACAAAGGCAGGTAAGGGAATACTTGGAAAAAAAGCAGAGTGAGAACAGGTCTGAAGGGCACGGTGAGCTGCTTCCTAGTGCGCTAAGGGAATTGGCGGGCGTGTTTATTGACTCTTCCAATTAGTTTTAAAGAAACCTGAAGAAATGGACAAAGACGGAGAAAAGGCAACCAGATGTGATTCTGCCCTTCCAGAGGCAAGGAGGCTTGTTATCATCCCGTATGATCGATGCCAGGCATGGGAAGGAATGACTGTGTGGAAATTAATGGATTTTCAACATCCAATCACAGAGGAAACACATGTATATTTAGCAAGTCTAAAGCCTCTTAAATAAACTGCATTGCTTTTCATTTTCACTTTCCAGTTATAAAACCAGTGGATGATGAAAAGGCCATGTGACAACACAGCATGTACTCCCGGGAGCATTGGTGTGACAGGAATATTATATCTGAAGGGACAGGGCGCCTGGGAGGGTGAACTGCCCATAACTCTCAATTGTCCAGGTAATGAAGCATTGGCAAAGCAAAGGCAAATGAAATAACCTGATCATCACAAGTGATTCCTCTTTTAGTGCTCTTATTAGTTGACTGATGATGACAAGTGTGAAATTGCCAGGGTTGTAGCTCCCCATTTCTGGCACCCATCACACACTTGGGATGAGCACGTGTGTGCAGAAAGTGGGAGCCCGGGCGGTTTCTGTAGACCAGAGGTTAAAAGTTGTAAAATTTCACAGCGTGGAGGATGACAATTGAAGGTTGGCAAGACTCTACCACATGCTTGAGGCCCCACAGAGAGTCAGAAGGAGAACCGATACTACCCTTTCAGTGTTCTTGAATGTCCTGAAGTTCACTGTTTAGTCTTGAGCTTGGGGGTGTTTAAATATGTGATTGCTCACTCATGATGCTGCCACTGGCCCTATTTTATTAGACTTAAGTGTGTTGGAGCTAGAAGGGGCCTTAGGAATCATCTAGCCTAGCCACCCCTCTTTTGAACAGATGCTCACAGGGGTCCAGAAATGTGTCTGAGATCACATTCCTAGCAAGAAAGCAAGGCTGTGACTAGAACCCAGGTCTCATACTTCCTTATCTGATCTTTCTACTGCTTGTGTGCTGTGCCAGGATCCTTGGAAGTTCTAATGATTGAGGATATTAAGATGTGCACCACTTAATCTAGCATTAGGTAGTAGATACGTATGAAAATAAGTGTAAGCTATTTTGGCCACACAGCATTAGTGAAAGATCGTCAGTAGTTGTTATTTTTTTAATTCCACTGGGCATTTTTATTGTTAGTTGAAAATTAACTAGTGAGCTTGTGGCTATGTCAGTAAAGCCATTCTAAGGCCTAGTAACAATAGTGCCAATGTCTCTTGCTCTGATTTAGTAGGAAGTAAAATACAAGGTATAGAGTTAAGCATCTTGTGCTTGGTGCTCACTGGGGTTACACACAGCCAGGGGCACGGTGAGGATGTGTCTACCTGCAGCAAGCTGCTTTCCTCAAGGCAGAGCCTTTTATGGAGGTGCTCAAGAACAAGTCTGTGAATGGAATACTACGCAGCCATTAAAAATCATTCTGCAGTAGAAAAGCATTTCTTGACAGGGAAAAATGTTTATGATCCGCTGCCAGGTGAAAATTAACAGGTTTCATAGCAGTGTGCAGAGAATGCCATCATTTTTGGAAAAAAGATTACAGTGTGTGTGTGTATATATATGAAATATATTAAATTATATCAGTAAATTAACTTGGATTCACGTATACCAAAGTGATGAAATGATATAATGGTCATCTATCTGTGGCTGGTGGGATTATCTGTGAGTTTCTTTTTCTTTGTACTTTTGTTTATTTTCCAAGGTTCCTGCATTATGTATGTGTTACTTTTGTAATTAGAAAAAATAAATCTTTTTTTCCCCATGAAAGTTTGCTTGTGTGTTTTGAAACTGGGGATGCTTTGAAGGATTTGATTCTGAACTTACTATGTTACACAGAATTTCTTGATGCTTCAGGATGGGCCAAGTTGGAACTTCTTGCCCCTCTAGAGCAATATTTTAGAAATGTTTATACTGTGATCCACAATGAGAAAAACATATTACATTATGAACCAGTACACACACACATACACACACACACACACACACGCATGCACATAGAGAAATAAACTTTTCACACAAAATATGTATCCTTTACCTATGATACACTGTTATTTTTGCTCTATTATTTAAAATACAGGTCATGAGCCACCAGATTGGTTTCATGATTTCTTTATGAGCCACTCCTCGCAATTGGAAAACCGTGTCCTAGGCATGAGGAACAAGGTGCCTTTCTGGGGGACCATGGCCTGGCGGTGGGACGGAGGGAGAGAGTGTTTCCACGGTAACTGATGTTGAACTCCAGGGGTTACTCATTGTGATTTAAGGGAGGCGGTTGGTGGGGGTAATGTAAATATTTATTATTTATAATTATACAGTATGTTTATGCTATTTTTAGCATATGCTCATTAATATCTTATTACATTTAGATGCACATCTGCCTAGACCGGCTTAGAATATATAAATTCCAGGATTCCCCCTTTGCTCGGAGTTAACATCACTCTGTAAGAGACCAAGAGTGGCTTCTGTCATTCAACAAATGAGCCCTTTTCCGAGCACTTTCTATGTGCTATGCTAGGTCCTGGGGTTGAGGCAGCAAACATGAGAGGTGAGAGCCCTGCCTTCCTGGGTCTTACATTCTAGTGGTGGCATTTCTCAATGAAGCCCACTGTCTGGGTCACTTTGAGGCAGGTACTTCAGATGGTTCTCTTCTAAATGTGTTTTGAACTTAGCCTTTTTCACCTCTATAACTTGGCTATGTCTCCACCCTTCTCCTCCTCCTCTCGATCCCAGTCCTGTGTCTCCATCTCTCTCTTTGCGCATTGAAATTCTATCATCATTTTTGCTCCAGATAAGATCTGCCCTCTCCCTCTTGAAGTTTCCAAGACCCCCGTCCATCACAGCAGTCAATCATATGGGCCTTGCTTATTCAACAAACATGTAACTTCTTCCTCTTACGCTGTCTTATAGCTGTGGTCCCCAACCCCCAAGCCACAGGTCGGTACCCATCTGTGGCCTGTTAGGAACAGGGCTAAACAGCAGGAGGTGAGTGCTAGGCAAGCAAGGGAAGCTTCATCTGTATTTACAGCCGCTCCCCATCGATCCATCACTGCCTGAGCTCCGCCTCCTATCCGATCAGCGGCAGCATTAGATTCTGCATTAGGGTGAGTTGTGTAATTATTTCATTGTATGTTACAGTGTAATAATAATAGAGATAAAGTATACAGTTAATGTAATGTGCTTGATTCATCCCCAAACCATCCCTTCCCCCATCTGTGGAAAAATTGTCTTCCATGAAAGCCGGTCCCTGGTGCCAGAAAGGTTGGGGGCCACTGCTAGGGTGTTATTTCCTGGCTATGAGCCTAGTCTTCTTAAGAAGATCAGGACCACAGTTTATATCTTACCCCTGCACGGTGCCTTGCATAAAGTAGATGCTCATTAACTATGCAGATATTCTCTCCCACATTGCCCCGCAGAGATGTTTGCTTTTTCAGTAGACCAGCTCAGCACTTCCCAGCTCTGTGAGCACATCTCCTCCTTGCTTATATTTCCAACCGGGCCCTGGGGTTGGACCCAGCCACCCTCGTTTGTCCTACTTCTGCCTCTCTTGGATTCACTGATCTCCTTAAACGCATGCCCAGGCCTACTCCAGTCTTGAGCAGCTCAGACCGAGGCCGGGCGTGTTGGGAGACGGAATCCGTGTATGTGGTTTTCACAAGCTCGCGGAGAAAGTGAGACAGACCTGGGCCGAGGCAGGTGCGCTGTGTGTGCTAGCTGAGTGACCCTAGGTAAGTTCACGAACCACTCAGTCTGTTCCCTCACCCAAAAACCGGGATCTTGGAGGTGCCGGCCTCCTGGAGTGCTTGGAAGATCACGTGTGGCGATGCACACGCAGGCGTGGCAAGAGGCCCGGCCCGCGGTGAGTGTGGCTCCCGTGATGGTGGTGACGCCGGGGCACGTGCAGGGCTGCTGGTGGGGCCCCCTCGCCCCTTCTCTTCCTCAGGTCTTCAGCTCCCATTTCTTGGAGCTTTCCTCCCTCGTTCTGATTGGCTGCTCTGTGAAATAAGCAAGTCTCAGGGCTTCGGCAGAAGTTCTGAAACTTTTCCTTTCACTGCCAGTTCTCTTTCTGGGACTGCATCCTGCCTCCATCCCTCAGCTCAGCCACCCTGGGCTGCGTCCTACCCAGCGAGGACAGAGCACTTGAGTTCAACGCCATCAGCCACATGTTGGGCTTTCCTGATGTTACCCCATACCTTCAGCTGAACCAGAAGCAGGGCCTCTATCTGGCTGTTCCCTTCCTCTCCCTCCTTCCCCCGCTGCCCCCACTCTTCCTGCAGTACCCACTGGCTGCCCCGTCCAGCCATTGAGGCTGGGGTAGCTCCCATCTTCCCACTGTGCACCGGTGCTCTCTCGGGCCTCGTTTTTCAGCAATCCATCATTCCTCACCCTCCCTTCCCTTTACTCACTTTCTCCTCCCTGCCAAAAAAATCACATTGGAAAAGCTTGTCTGCAAGGGTTCCATTCAACTTGTTCTACATTAATGCTCTGCTGTGGTGACCCACTGCTGAGTCTTTCACTTGTAATGTAATCTAATAATTTACATGCACTTTGCAAGCAGTACTCTTAGAGACTTGCAACCTGTTTGAAATTGCTCTGCTGTTACAGTATTTGAGCTGATGAGAGAGCAGCGTGAGAAAGAGTAGTTATTGGTACCATGATGGTATTGGGTAAACCTGGGAAAATAATGTTAGCACAAGGTGTGGGTGTGCTGATGGATTATAAGATCCTTTTTTAGAGAATCAAATTTGCTAAGGATCTTTTATCGATTTTGGCTTATAATTGGACTAGGATAGGTCAAAGTACAGAAAGGGTAGAGGCATAGCAAGCTTGAAGAAGTGAACTAAGTATGGAATCTTGTCCTTCTGGGATGCCGTGAAAATGTTTTAGTTTTGATATACTACATGACTTTTACAGAATTAATTGGCACTGTGATTAGGTTGTTTTATTTCTTCACTCAGACATGTTGGAAGCCGATTCTAATATGCAGTAGTAATGAAAATAGAGTAATGCTGTAATAATAGTGCCATTGTAAAGTGAATTACACCATTAAGCATCTATTTTGTCTAATTTGTATTGTGATAGTGTGGGTGATACACACACATACAGACTTAGAGTAGCTGATCTTTAGGAAATAGACTCTAGCTGAGAAGAGAAGCCCCAATACTATAATATTGAACAGTTAGTGAACAAAAATAACTGGTTCAGTGGAAAAGTGAATTTTCACATATTCATATATGTATGAATATGTATATATATATTCATATAAATATATATACACACACATACATATGTACATGCACACATACATATATTATCAGCCGGGCAGATCAAGATGAAGATACATGACTTTGACATAAAAATACTTGGCTTCTGTTTCCTTTTAATGAGTCGACTAGCCTGAATGAGGAAAGATATCAGTTATGACAGGTCAAGTCAATAATAGCATCAGGCCAGGGTTTGAAAACAGGCTTTGTATGTTTACTTCAACCCCTTCCTCCTCATTACCATGCCTGAGAACTTCTATTAATTGATGTTTCTCGAGTTTGGGGAGGGATATT